AGTTAACAGAGTTCCTCACTGTCTCTCACTTGACTGTAACTTTTCAGCATCCTAAGTTCTTGAGCTTTCAGGCCTGAGGTCTCAAATACTAAACATTCCCTGGCAAAAAGTCCTCTGTACATGACTAAAATGAGGCAGAAGACAATGATGTCCATGATTAGACTTAAAGATGTAGTGCATCTGCTTTTCTAGTCTGAGGATGATTTAATTCATGGTGATGCAGGAAACAAGGATGAAATAAAGCTCTGAAACTTGTTTTTCAATATTGACACTTAATGTTCATGCCAAAAGCTTCTATACAATCCCTAATGATATTCAAATATTTTACCAGAAACCACAGATTCATTAAAAATAGAGACCATGTAAAAGAATATAAGATGTCAAACTGTGATCAACTATATAGTTATTACAAATCTGTATATCAGTGGGCTGCTGTTATATAACAGTTTTTTTTAGTCACAGAATCATAGAGTGGCCTAGGTTGGAGGGACATATAAGATCATCAAGATTATGGTTTGATTTGGTTTGGCTTTTGCCAGTCAGGAACTGAAGACCACTTTTGAGCATGAAAATTCTTCTTCCAAGGTCAGAATAAATGAACCGACACGGTTCAGTTTGGGACTCTTACATATATTATCTCGCTAAACTCTCCTTTGACCTTTTACTTTACCTCTGGCGTCACCCTTGTATTGACAGAAATAGTAGACAAAGTTATTGCTTGTTTTCCTGTTCATATGCCTTCTGATTAACAAAAAGAAGCACAGTATTTTACTGTGCTGAGTTCTCATTTCAAAATTCCATACCAAAGATTGGGCTGCAATGATAAAAATACAAACCACAAAGATTTAAGGATGCACAGTAGGATTGTGAGTGAGGCATGACAGAAAGTCAGGAAGGACTGAATTAACTGTTTCAACCAAGATACACAAACTTAAATTATATTTCTCTCTTAAGACAGAAAATGGAATCATATTGACATTGCTACTAAAAGGTGACGACAAATCTTCTAGCTTTTCTTAAGGTTTCTTTATCTTTTTCTTTATCTCTATCTTCTGCAAAAAATAGGAAGTATCTTCAGAGTGGTTGAATAACAAAGCTTTAAAACATTTGCAGGCATAAAGAAAACATCTTTTTATTTGTGGACTGTGACTTTACTTTTTCCAGAAGATTGCTTTTCTAAGATCTTTGTTCGGCTCTGCTTGACTTTTCTAAAACAACGAATACTGAGGTTAGGTTTCTATTTTCCAACCAGCAGTTCTAGTACCCTGCTGATGTAGACATCATTTGATGTTTGGAGAGACCAAGGAAGAAACTGGAACGTCTTCCCTGGATGAACCACATATCTCTCCAAAGAAGGGCCTTGTTTGCTATACATCAGTTTTAAACATCTCTTGAATGTGGATGCCTAAAATCCATGGTCTAAAGCATATTTCTTCAAGACTCAGTAAACTTAAGGATTCCTAAATAAATCCTAACACTTATTTAATGTCCAAGTGTAACTAGAAGTATAACTCCCTGTACAACTCAAAGTATGAAGATGACTGAATACATAACAGCACAAGATGACACCCAAATAAAACTGAAATGGATTGTTTTAATTTATTTCAACAGTTTCAAGAATCAGCAGGTCTCGCATCTCCAATGTATGCAAAGATGTCTCTAAGTGACTTTTTGGGTGTGCATTTTGAATTTAGAAAAAGCCTGAATTTCATGTAAGATATGTTCAGAATTTAGTAACTATCAGGCCCCTTCTGGCAGCATAATCTGATTGTCTGAAGTCACCTGTTACTTTTGAAGGTACTAGATTGAATTGTCAGAGATTATTTGAGCATGTGGATTAAAATAAATGTTTTAAACCTGAGGGAAATTACTCTCTTTTATTCACATAACAGCACATATGTGGTTCTAGTAATTTCAGCACAATTATTCAAATTTTTCTTTACAGTTGAAAAATAGCAACTTCTGGTCTCAAAAGCAAAGCATTATGATAGCCTTTGCTTATTTTCAGGCATGCAGATCTTGTAACACTGAGAACTATAAGAAACCTTAACTAATTTTATTACCTAATCCCTGGATAAGTACTTTTAATAACGTAGATTTGTAGGTTAAAGAGCAGACAAAAAATACAATTATCCAGAACTTTTTGTATTCTGATCTGGGAGTGTTCTAGAGCTACATATTTTCCTCAATATATACACACTAATCCATCAAATGCAGGGTATTTACTCAAGAAATGTAGAACTTTATGTATTAGATATATGAGTCAATATAGAAGATTTTGGAACTGATAGTAAATTATTTTTATTCAAGTACTGCACTGATGTAAAATTTAGCTACATCTGGTAATAAAAAATTATCTGTCACACTGGTAGGCTGAATTTGAAGGTTGGAAGGAAAAATCAGTTCTTACAGTAGAGTTGGCCATCTAGGGAAGGAAATTAACTTAATCTGCCTGCAAAATAACACCATCAACAACAACCATAGCTATATAACACCACCTCTCACCTAGTTTTACTTTATTTGAAATGTCCTAGGCACAGAAATGTATAATATTTACAGACATGAAAAATTTCAATTTATAAAATAGTTATCTTTTCTCTTTGGGAAATAAATACATATGTATTGACATGCATGTATGAAATAACCTTTTTTTTTCCCCTTCTTTTTTTCTGAAATGGAAAGAGTCATTAAACCTGTTGGTATATAATGCTTTACAGCAGCACTTAGTATAATCTAGGTCAGTAAAGACAGAAACATTCTTGAGATGACTAAAACCTACTCAGGGAGGTTTTTAACATCAAATGGAAAGTATAAAGAAAACTTTCACAGCCTCATTTTATGGAAATTCATAGATGTTATGCACTGTGCATCCCAAATCCACCACAAGAATGTTAGGAAAACAAGTTGAATAGGCAGTAATGAATCTTTTCAGAAGGATGAAAACAAAAGACAGAATGAAAGACAATTTACTTCCAATAGTTCCTCAAACCTTTTTAAAAATTTCAAATTACGACTCTGATCCTACTCCTTATTGCTAACTCAAATTGAATATTGGTGTTTTACTACTGAAATGCCAATACCAAAAACTGCACATAAGTCATTAGAATCATTGACACCTTCAGATTTAATTGCACATACAGTAAAAGGAAGGCCAGTAAGTCAGAAGTGGTTATTATGTATAAAAAATCATAATACTAGTTTGTAAAAAAATTAAATGCTCTTTGCTAGATACTTTTAAAAACATTATTTTTTGTGATTTCTATCTTACATAAGCTACATAGTTATCATATGTAATGCAGAAAGCGCATCTTAAACCTGCTGCTATGTCACCTACAGATGCTTTGGAAATTCTACACATCATTTTCACTTTCATTTCTTTTCCTGCAATTCATCCAAATATATCCCAATTCTGCAAATATTTAAGTACATTCCTAAATTTCCATTAAACAATGAAACATAATCATGGAAATTGTGATTAAACCCATGTAAAATGATATCTTTAGCCATCAGACTTCTGACTGCTAGTATTTTTCCCACTTCTGCTGGCTTTGCAAAAGATAGAAGAAACCTATGTACAACATGACATCTGGGGAATTGAAGCAGCACCACTTTGAAATGCACCCACTCTTTTTTTCACAAATCTGATTGTAAAACACCTAACTATCTGCATGGAAAATCACAGTGTCCGGGCTCTTCTTAAAAGCTGGAAATTTTCTGCCAATTCTAGTGTTTAAAAGAGAGACGATAAAACTGGCCAGACACCTTTTTTTTTTTTAATGTCTTCCATCCTCAGAAGATATCATAGCAGGATTTCACTCAAGCAAAGGCAAAGTCACTTTTCTTTCCTCTCCCTTCTTGAGAAATACAATACACTAAAATGTCCAGCCTTGAGGATCAGCTTGTTAACCAAATGCTGAAGAGTACATACACACCTTTGTTTCAGGTGCTGGGAAAGCTACTGATTTTGTTTTTCAAAAAGTCCAATTTTCCACCTTGAACATACAAGTGCTCCTAGTGGCTCTTCTGTCAAGAATGGGTAATTATTTTCCCAGCACAAATTTGGAGTGGCTGTAGCATAGCTTGCTGTTGAATTTACCACATATAAGAGGACATATTTTGAAAACTTTCTTTCACCATGTCTAAAATACCAAAAATGGACATTTCAATGGCAAAAAGGCTAGAGATGAAAGTTCTTTCCTAAAGACAATGAAGACAACTTCAAAGATAAAATTCAGGGATGGGACAAGAAAAGTGTCAAAGCAAACAGTAGTATTAATCCTAAACCCTTAACAAATGCTGAGGAAGGTATTCAGGTTAATATTTTCTTGGTAACATGACTTTTTTGGTAGAAACAGCAGCCTTCCCCAGTAATTAATTAAAATGAAATCATGATAATAAAATAAGCCATCTCCCCTGATATATTCTGAACTCTAGAAAACTAGATTTTCCAAATACAGAACATAATCACCTTTCAGATATCATTATTAAAAACTATGTTTAAGACCAGGAATAAGAAGCTCTTATTTTAAAAACTACATAGCAATGAAAATTGAAAACATAGGCCAGGGGTCTCAAGAATTACCTTCAGTGTTCCTCCTAATAAAGTTATGAATAAACAGAATAAACACAGCATTCCCAATAAACACAGAATACAGAGAATACATATTGACATAATAAATGCATTCACAATGATCTAGATGTTTTTTCGACTCAGACTGATGGAAATATAGTAGAAATAATCCAGATACTCAAAAATAACTTAATCTTGCCATACTTTTCCTTTCTTCCTGAGAGTGAGATTTATTTGTTAATAAATCCAAAGGAACTCATTGCAATTATTTTAAGTTGTAAGAGTATTCTAAGACAATTCACCACTAAAAGTGTAGATTAAACACTAAGCAAGGGTATTTTCTTTAAAACCTAGAGGTACTATAATATTATTTTAGGCATTTGAAATTTTAACAGCATACAATTACAGTAAATTAAAATGGAACACTTACCTTGCAAACCAGGTTCCATAGATACAAGCAGGAAAGACAAAAGAGTTTTCTGCCAAGTTTTCCAGCTCCACTGCTCACTTACTTGGGTGGAAAAAAAAAAAAGAAGAAGAAAATTTATTTAGTCATCAGTTGTACAGAGCTTTTTGAAATGGTGATGCTCTCAATGAAAATGCCTTGAGACATTTTTAAATGATATTTAGCTTTGTCCAAAAAGGAATAGAAAAGATTGTCAGAGCAATAAATGTGTCTGCTAAGGTAAATAGGGTTAGAGGCAATTGAAAGCTCCTAATAACACCAAAAAATAGCATGCATTCATAGGCACTCAAGAGGAGCAGACAACTGTGCTGCCTACAGTAGGACAGAGAGACATTTACTGGAGGATCTGAAGGTGAAACTGACAAAGTATTAAACCCAAATGGAGACAAAGGAACAAAAAATCACTTCAACAGTAGGATTAACTGTTTTTCTCTGCTGGTGGTAGAACTTGGCACCTCTACAGACTTCTCCATCCATGTCTCCAACTCTACAGTAAGAAAGAAGGGTTTTAGAAGTTCTTGCCATACCGAATTCAAATCTGAACTTTCCATTTATTTTAACAGGACAGATGAGGAAACACCTGATTTACACAGTGAAGTTTAAGGAGTTCTGAATCACATGTGTCAGGATCCGAACATGCCTGAAAGAACCACAGATTGTTTGATAAACCAGAACTATAATGATACCAAAGACTAATAAAGACTGTGCTATTTCAAAATTAATGTGAAAAATGCCAAACTCTTTTGATCAACATGACTCACACAAAAAACCCAACCAAAATAACAAAATTATTCCTCTTCTTCCATATGCAAATTACTTCTCCAAGACCTTTCCCAATGCCTGAAAAAGGTGACCCTGCATGTCTACATAAAATACATCGTGATCTAATTGAGATTATTCTGTAAACTGAAAAACATCATATAAAAATAAATAAGAATAATATTTAAAATTATTTCTATTCTTAGGATATAATACAAATATACAGCAATTACAGGAAAGATTAGAAATCACAAGTAAAGGCAAACTTCATGATAAAATATGTTTTGTCTAACTCTCATTCAACCAGCTTGTTATGTGGCATACAAATATGTGAGCTAATTCAATGATTTTATATTATACTTTGTGGTTTATAATGGACTAGGTAAATGGACTAATAGCTGAACTCGAGAGTACACATAAGGAACATAAGGAATTTATGCAATTTGCAGAAGCAGTCTTGAAACACAGCAATCAACTGTCAGCACTCCAGGGTATGGTACAGTCTCCACTAAACACAAATATTTCCCTAGAGAAGAAGCTATGGGTTGCATATTTGCCAAAGCTGTAGTTTTGGAACGATATTTCTATCAATTCTCTAATATCTCCCTAGGATATAATTTCCTGACAAAATTGAAACATTTTTTAAACTAACAGCAATATTTTTTTCAGGTTTTCTTTACCTAAAGAATTGTAACTATTTATTGATTTTGCACTTTTTTCTTTTTGAATCCTTCTCAGAATTAATACAAAATGTAATGCAGTTAGGGAAAAAAAGAATTATTAAAAAAAAAGAAGAAACATAGAACAAAAAAACCTCAACAAAAACTTCACAAATAAGCCAGTTTATCATGTCTCTAAGTTTTTTTTTTCATTTTGTTTATGCTGAAGCGAAAGGAAAATATTTTAAGTATTATGGTTGTTTCCCTTCACCTTTGGTTGGACACACAACAAACCTAAAACAAGGGTGAGCATGAGCTTTTGGAGGCTGAGAGAATTAAACTCTGAACCCTACTTTACATTATAACTAAGCGTCAATTGATATTTAGATATCAGATCTAAACAGGAAGAAACAAATGTTCAGGAAGTTGCACCTGAATATGAGGAAGAACTTCTTTCCTCTGTGTGTGTGACCATGCACCAGAACAGATGGTCCAGAGAGGGTGCAGAGTCTCTCTCACTGGAGCTCTTCAAAAACTGTCTAGGTGAAATCCTGTGCCATGTGCTCTTGGATCATCCTGCTTGACCAGGGACACTGGACCAGATGACCCGCTGGACCAGATGGCACTTCCGCCTTGAACTATTCCAGATTCTGTGATTTCTCTCCTCACCAAAATGTAGTAGCGAAATGGAGTGTCAACATCAAAAACTCCTTCATTAGAGGAGGCCAAGGGTCAAACTGCCAAATGTTGATAACATCTCCATCTCATTACTTCATTATTTCTGAGCATAAAACGCAAGTGGTAGGAGAGGACTAGAGAGTTGTTACTAAGACTCCAGTGGGAATTCAACAAGGTCAATACAAGATCCTATCAGAGAAGTTAAATTTTTCTGCAGCAAGATATATTTCCTTCAGAGATAAGTGATTGCCTAATAGGTGAGACACAGAGGAGCTAATCAGTCTTCCCAGCTGCAGGATAACACTAGTATCTTGCCTTAAAACAAGCTACCCTTGGCCCCAAGCTTCTCTTTAGGTGGTACAGAGCTGACGCTGGGGAAACACACAAGCTTACTAGCCAGATGTGGCAATGGAAGAGGATAGTCAGTGCCAGTACATGTACGCATGAGAAAAAAAAGGCAGTAACATTGGAAAAACAAAGTATTGTGTGCCCCTCAGAGACAAGATCTGAGAGCCCTAGAGGGCTGGTTTATGAGGGCATCAGCTTAGTTGTCATGAAAAATCTTAAAGTATTATTGTGAATGGAAGAGATAAAAAATATGAACAACTGATAAACAAACAATTTTCTACAAAATCTTTAGTGGTACTAAAGAGCCAGATGGTGTTTTGTAATACCTATAATAATAAAAATCCAAAATAAAGTAAAATATACGTTTGATTAATGGACTGTACATGGAAAAAACAGAATGTTTTGCCTCAGATGCTGATTATCCTACATTTTTGAAGCAAAAATTATCTGCAGGAGTTCCCCTCTTGTAACTGGAATATTTTACCTAACTTTGTCTATTGCAGCAGTGCATATGCAGCCTTAATTAAGGTGTTGTTTCATGGAAGAGAAAAACTGTCACTAAAATCACAGCAAGAATGCAACAATATCAAAATCAGCAGTTATCAAAATTAGAAGTTACTAAACTATTCTACACAGGGACAGCCTGGAAATATTGAAGATTTAATTGCGATTTTTTAGCCACATGCCAAACATGTGAAATGTACTAAGACAGTCTTGTCCTAAGATCAGACAATAAACATGAGCATCATGAAAATAAGTCATGTGATCTACATTGACCTGCATTGAAAAAATTAAATGCCACAGAGCTAAAAGTTGAAACACAACCAAAAAATGATTACTTAAACTGCAGAAAAATAGATGTCAGATTTACAGAAGGATGATCTACACCTGAAGAAAGATCCTCCAGACCTGTATCTTGAAAATATATTGAACTAATTTTATATATAAATGAAAGCATGAAAAGAATAAATTCTTTGCACAATAGACTTTTGTAAGGGTAGTGGCCATATATTTCTTCAGATTAAATCACAGTTCTGGATTTTTTTACAGAATTCCAAAGAGCTGTTACCCAACATACACTGAAGAGAGGAATAGCTTGTTTTTGAATGTCTCATAGTTCAAAACATTACCTTATAAGCTGTGGTTTTTTTCAAGCCTTAATGATTTGAAGATAAAAAATTTTCACATGAGCTTAAGGCAGGAATGGATTTTTGTTAGGTTTTTTTTCCTCTTTATTTCTTTCCTTTTTTTTTTTTTTTTTTGACTTTTGGCTTGATTTGGTTTGAGGGTTTTTTTGTAGTTTGTTTATTTTTACTTCAATACATGGTTTAGATTTCTTACAGTACTTACATATTAAGCTTAGAGACAGTTTTCAAAGAAACTAAATGAACTAGCTAATAAAAAGGTAAACCATATGGGACACAGATATCACACTTTCTCTGAAAGAAAATCTCCAAGACTTGGTATAAAAAAAAAAAAAAAAAATATCTGCTGCACACCAAGGTCTTCAAACAAGGCCTTCAAGAGTCAGCATTAGGAATATGTAGCAGAACTTTTCATAACATTGCTGCCTTTAGTGCAGTTGGTAAATTGTGCCAGACCACTGTAACCTACAGCCTCCTCTCTCCATTCCATGCTCCCCAGCTAAAAGGACTTGCATAGAGACACAAAGGAAGTGTAGTTTTGTGAGGGCAGACATTATACTGTAATATCCACAGCTTCCTATTTGGAGTTAAAGGGCATGCTATCCTCTGTAAATATGTAGTTGAACTTTAGCATCCTAAACAAGAAAATACTGGCAATAACAAAATTATATCTTAAAGTTGAATTATATCAGCTAGAAGTATTGAGTTTAAATTGCATAAAAATAGATCAAATTTCAATAGAAAAATCCTAAGGATGTTTTAGCATTGAAAGAAGTGTCTATGGGAGCAGGGGAACCTCCAATATTTCTGTCATTGTGAAACATGGGTAAATATCTATCAAAAATCACACATATACAGCCAGAAGGCATCACTGGGGGCAGAGAGTGGGTAATGTCCTCTTGAGAAGTCATCCAACTCATCTTCAATGATATTTTCAATAACTTCTAATATGTAAACAATACAGACTGGATATACTTTTTGGTTCTTATTTAATCATCTGACCTAAAATATACATCCCTTATCACTTTATTGCAGGTATCAGTAATCAAAAGTGAAAAAAGACAATATTTTTGGGTTTAAAATAATTCTAAAACTCAAAAAAGTAAAAATTTCTCTTTTTAAATATCCTCAAGATTTATATCATCGTCAGTTACTACAGTTCTTATTTAATGATTATGCATGAGATTTTGGAAAGCTAATCCATTTTAGATTTTTGAAGCCAAAATTTTTCATTTCCATTCCACAAAGCCCATATAAATTTATTGATGCTTTTGTTCAAAGTCAAGATATGGAGGCATTCTGCAATAAAATAATTAAAATCTGTCATTCTCTTTCTTTTCATCATCATATAACCTTCAGTTACAATGAATGCTTTCTAAGTCTAATGTTTAATACAGACAAAAGGAATGTGAAGAAGCTGATGGTCTCTGTAAAATCATTACTTCCAAATATTTAT